GGGGGGGGGGGGGGGGAGGGAAGGGGCGTGGGGGGTGGCAGATCAAGGCCCATGCCAGGGCAGGGTGGTGCGCAGGATGGAGCCACAGCTCGTCCAGGGGGTGTGGGGAGGGCGTGGGGGCAGCTCTTGCATGCACCCCAGGAGGGCATGGGGGGAGGGTGTGGGCCCCCAGATCTCAGCGGCTGGCACCAGGCTCTTCCTGGCATGTGGAATGTGGTTTGGTCAGGGCAAGCGGCTGCAGTGCTGGGAGAGGGCTTTAGGGGGAGCTGTTCCATGGGGAGGTGTGCAGTGAGGTGGGAGGTGGCTGTGCCAGGGTTGGGCAGCCTTGCAGCACTGGAAGAAGTTTCATCTGTTGGGAATGTAGGTTGACTGTTGATCTATAGGTACTAGCAAGACATACTTGTTTGGAATGACTGCCCAAATTTGTGTGGTTTTTTATGTTGTTCCAGATTTTACTGCTCAGGATCCTGCATCTGCTTTTACACTATAACTACTGTGTATGAATAAAGCAATACAAGAGTAGCAAAAGTGTGCCAACTTTAACCATGGTTTATTTAGGGTCATATTGAAACAATTGAGCTCGTTTGTATTACTACAAGGTCATGCACATGTAATAGTTGCAGCAGTAAGAACTGTGGGGAACTCCAAACAGCAGCGCTGCATCCCCTTTTGAAGTCAATGCAAGTGTGTTACCCCGTACCCTTCATCTATTACAGTATCAGAAATTGTTTTACTCTTTTCCCTTTATCCCACCATCCTAACAGCAAACAGCTTCCTACTGATAATTGCCAATCACAACCCTGATGGTTTTCAGAATGGTTTCACCCAAACCTCAACCAACCTAAGACTGACCTTCCTTTTCTCATTTCAGCATCCCGACTCTCAAAATCCTGGAAGTACAAATTGATTTTTCTAGGTGGATATCACTGACAAATTAGCCTCTTACCAACAGCCCCTAGCACCTGCTCCCTAAATAAAGTCTCTTTAACCTGTTGTTAAAACCATTAATGTCTTTGCCTGATTTTTAGATTCTACCTTATTGGTGGAGGGATTCCTATCATAGTCTGTGGAATAACAGCAGCAGCCAACATCCGGAATTATGGCAGCAGGCCAAATGCTCCATAGTGAGTATCAGATAATTTTGAGATTTGACATAAGTTATTAGGACTTTTGACTAGTATTTCAGCAAACAAAATATAGATTGTGACTCTTCTGGCAGATGAACCACGTTGCATTTCAGCAGTTCAAAATAGTCTGTAAAAAATAGATTACTTCTGAGGCGGTGTCCATTTTGCTGTACTGTCTTGTTTTCTTTTCCAGTTGTTGGATGACATGGGAACCTAGCTTGGGAGCCTTCTATGGACCAGCTAGTTTCATCATTTTCATAAATTGTATGTATTTTCTCAGTATATTTATACAATTGAAACGACACCCTGAACGTAAATATGAACTTAAAGAGCCAGCTGAGGAACAGCAGCGTTTAGCAACCAATGAACATGGGGAACTGACTCCTCAGGATTCGCTGTCAGTGTCACTGGTTTCCACATCAGCTTTGGAGAATGAACACAGTTTTCAAGCTCAGCTTTTGGGAGTGAGCCTCACTTTGCTTTTATATGTTGCTCTATGGATTTTTGGGGCTTTGTCTGTTTCTTTGTATTATCCCGTGAACTTGATTTTTAGCTGCTTTTTTGGGGCCACATGTTTAAGTCTTAGTGCCTTTTTGCTGGTGCATCACTGCATCAACAGGGAAGATGTTAGGCATGCTTGGATAACAACCTGCTGCCCTGGAAGGAGCACGTACTCCGTGCAAGTTAACGTTCAGCCCTCCAATTCCAGTGGGACCAGTGGAGAGGCTCCCAAATGCACCAACAGCAGTGCAGAATCCTCATGCACAAACAAGAGTGCATCAAGCCTAAAACATTCGTCTCAAGGTTGCAAACTAACTAATATACAGGCTGCAGCAGCTCAGTGCCATCCTAGTTCTCTACCAGTAAGCCCGGGTCCTCAGCTGGATAATAGTTTGACTGAACATTCGGTGGACAATGATATTAAGATGCATGTAGCACCATTAGAGGTACAATTTCGGACAAATGGGCACCCGAACCGTCACCATAAAAACAGAAGTAAGGGCCATCGTGCAAGCAGGCTTACTGTTTTGAGGGAATATGCATATGATGTCCCCACAAGTGTGGAAGGAAGTGTGCAGAATGGCTTATCTAAAGGTCGACAAAGCAACAGTGAAGGGCATTCAAGGAGTCGAAGAGCCTATTTAGCCTACAGAGAGCGTCAGTATAACCAGTCCCAACAAGATAGCAGTGATGCTTGCAGTACGCTTCCAAAATGCAGTCGAAATACTGAAAAAACTGTTGCTACAAACAACAAGAAGGATATTTTGAGAAAACCAATAACAGTTGAACTTGAAAGCCAGCAAAAATCTTATGGCTTAAATTTAGCTGTTCAGAATGGGCCACTTAAAGGCATTGGACAGGATGGACCTTTGCTCACCGCAGACAGTACAGGCAATATTAGGACTGGGTTGTGGAAGCATGAAACTACTGTGTAGCATTGTACTTGTCAGGAGAAATTCATGCGAACTGTGATTCACACATTCCTTAAAACTGTTAACACACAAAAAAACTGTTTACAAACAGTGGGTACTTTGCGCACAGGGGACAGATATCTGCCATGTGAAAAAATGTGTAAGTTTTTGGAATATATCTTTGCTGTTCTCAGAAAGATAAACTTTTGATACTCTGAATTTTTTAAAGGAGCAGGTTCTGCTATGAGATGCAGAACAGGACTTTTTTTAACACATGTACCCTACATCTGTGTCCACAACACATTTCAGGTTTGTATTTAAATGCGTAATAAATAGTATTTTCCCCAGCAGCAGTATGTTGCATTTATGTATTTTTAAGGTGAAGATTACTGGCTGTAGTTGTCTGTTTGGATATGCTACTTAATTTCATTGTCTGAGAATTTTGATAGTCTTTATTTGCTAAAGAAAAAAATAGTTTTCTGAAACTGAAAATACAGAAGTTTCATACTTAATGCAACTGGTTGCATTAATTTTGACATTTGAATGACGTAGAAAAACGACATTAAAAAATAAAAGATTTATGGAATAATACAGCTCTGTATTTCTAAATCGCTTTTGTAACTGATTCATCAATTCATTCTTTAGGAAGCATTTAATGTACTAAATGCATAATTATATGCCTAGTTGTGTTTAATGTTTTTCACGTTGGCTGTAGGCATTTCTACATAGCCCACTCTAATTCACTTGCTCTTCTCCTCAAACTATTATATTTATATGTACTCTCTAGTAATTGTATATATTAACACAGGTATCATTTGAACTAGAAGCACTTGAATAGCAGTGTCTTAGCAAGTAGTTATTACCATATTTACTCAAATATAAGAAGTTCCCCCCCCCCCCCCCAGTCACCCATTTTTACAAAAAAAAAAAAATCCCCCCCCCCCCCCCCAGTTAGCACAAAGGGAAAAAGGTCCTCATCTTACATTTAAATACAAGGAAATCTCATGAAATACATTGTCTGTCATTAAACTGCTGCCAAAAGCAGTATGTTTTCAGTAATGGAAACCAACTATGAAGTTGATTTAAATGCAGCCAACACTGAGCATGACTAGAAAACGCATGGCCCATATTGGGCAAACATGAATAGGTTAGCACAGCCCAGATGAAGAAGATGTATGGTAGTGCCCATTGTGCTCAGCTTCAACTCTTTTTCAAGTCATGGTAAACTGCTACACTGAATGCATTTCAACTTCCACTTCACTCCCATGGCTGGGCTACTATACCTTTCTTTCCCATTTCCAACGATTCCTGTTTCTTCACCAGCCTTAAATATCTGGAAAACCAAGCAGGGCCCCAAACAGTTCATCCAGAATCCCCTGTTGCCCCCTCTCGGAGCCTATTGCGTACGATTAATGTGGCCCCACCCTCCATGAGGTAAAGCTGGACCAGGTTGCCCTGGACCTCATCTGCATATAATTTTTTGCAGGATTCCAGGACTTGAGAAGAAAACCTGGTTCTGGTCATGATTGGTGTGGGGAGGGGTGGCTATTAACACATGGATCCTTTGTGGAAGGGATCTGGAGTACACACACATACTGAGCAGTGCTGAGCTGTGGCTTGAAATGCTGTTGACTCTGCTGGGGCCCAGCTCACTGAACTGTATGGTAAAGTTTGAGCCTTTTGGCCTTAGACTAATAAGTGCTGCTTAAAAGTGTGTTTATGGAGTGCCTGTGCTAAAATGCAGCAGTTTCAAAGAAGATAAGATGCTTCCATTCTGGATGAACTAAGTCTATAGGTACCCATAGTAATTTGCCTATGTGCAAATTACTATAGGCATGTTTATTTTTAAAGTCAGTGTTTTCAGGTTTGCTCCTCACTCCCATGTGCTCATGGAGAACAGGGTCTGACAAAGAGTGGGGGAAGGGACTCCAGGGAGAAGAAGGTGGGGACAGAGGGTAAGGGTGCCACCTTCCCCTTCTGCCCAGATTTATTTTCCCTGCTATAGCAGTGGCAGGAGGACACATTCTAGGCAGTGCTCCAATAATTAGATTCTATACCTGAAAAATCAACACATTTATAACATTTCTATATATAGAATCTAATTACTGGGGGGTTGCCTTGTATTCAGATAAATGCAGTACTTAAAGGTAACAAAAGATCTCAAAAGATATGGATGTAAGCTGTTAGGATATAACTTACATCTCTATGATTCTGTAACCACACAAGTGTAGCAAAATCACTGCAGCATTACCCTTGTCAAAGCTAGGGGGATTTAGCTAATTTATATGGCTACAAGATTGTGTAGTTACTTCATAACAGCTGATATGCACTTCTGAAAACAGTTAGAGATTACAATTTTTCATCTCTTGGGGCACATTTATCCTGATTTTACACCAGCCCAGAAATGGAATCAGAGCCTTTTGTGTTCAACAATTCATCAAATGCTGCTTGCTACTACTCACTTGCAGTGGACTTGATGGCACTGACAATCCCTGCAGTCACTAGTTCCCCTTCAGAGCATTTTAATGTAGCATTAAATAGCAGATGTGTAAGAGAATAGATGTCTCATCCTTTCTGACATAACTTTTCATGAAATTTAGTAAACTGTGCAATGTTTCTTAATGCCAGTAAACTGACAAGTATTGAAAGCAAAGTAGAGAGAAATTACAAAGGTGGAGGAAATGTCATTCCTATTTCAATAAGACAATAGTTCTAATATGGGTACCAGATATGAGAGCATTTGAATCAGAATAGTGATGGAAAGTTACCTAAAATAGAATCTATACATTCTGATATAGAGTGCAACGTGGAATATTATGGAGGCCAGATAGTATTTACTTAGTTTCCTGTACTTCATTCTATTTATATTTAGTCTCTCAAACCACTTGTAATAGATATTAGTAGTTTAGAGAGTACAAGGCAGTCCTGTGTTTCGCTCCATGAATCCTATTCTTTACCTGTTTGAGGATTTTGTAGCTCTATATGCAAAGTGTCACTTATGATTTATTATCTGTTTGTTGGTGTTCCCCATATCAAAGTTATTTGTAGTCGCATGCTAGCAGATTTGTTTGGTATTGTACAATATTGGCATCACAATTACCCTTCAAAGTTGCAAAGAAGAATGTATCACAGTGTAAATATATACTGCCTGGCCGATGAACTGTAATTCATAACTTGTCAGAATCTCCTGGCTTTTTTAACATTTCAAAGCTGTTCTTGTACATGTTGATAAATTAATTGCTCTGAGGTTTCCCAGGAGCACATGGGATGTTAAGATAGTATCATAGTTGAGAGTATCTAGCAATAATAATTTAATGCAAAATAATCTGGAAGTAGTATAATTATCTCCAAACCTAGCATTATACACTTGGGAAATTAAAAGTTCAGATGAACCTTTAAAGAACTCTAACATTAAACTATGAAAGAGTACAGTGTGCATTCACTGTTAATTCTGCTCGGCAGTGATCCCACGTAAGTGTGATTATGACTAAGGCTATGTCTTAGTCTATGTTGTCCCAGATTTAGTTAAATGATTTTGGCCTTCTTCCCTACCCATATTTCCCCTCTGCCCCAGGCCTTCATGGTGTAATCACAAAGCAGAATTAAGGTTGTGAGGCAGTGCCAGATTTAGGCTTAAACTACTTAAGCTACAGTTAGGGGCCTCTAAATAAGAAAAAAAAAAACCTGACTCGATATCAAGTGTTATAATAATCAGTTGGTAAATAAGACAAAAAGGAGATATGGGAAAATGACTCTCTAAATATGGACATTTTCGTTCTGACAAAAATACACATACACTGGATTCTTTTTATCGTATGGGGCCTCTTAACATGAACATAGTTTAGGGCCTCTGCATGTTGTAATCTGGCACTGTTGTGAGGTGTCCTAACTGCATTTCCAAGTCTTACACAGGTATGGAGAAACAAATAAGTTGCCATGAAGTAAAACAAGTGGGACTTTATTTTGCATCATCAGCATAATGTTAACTCCCAAACATCTTCATTTTATATTCCGTATGCTCTATTTTACCATAGTTCACAATTGTGTGGTTTCAAACTTTTAGTCTGAGAATTATTGTAGGATTTTAAATTAAAGAATGGTGCATGCATGCTCAATAACAAACCAAAGATAATGTGACTATAGGATACATATAATCATGTGGAAAATATGAAATATTAACTGTAGGAATCAATTTTTTCCTTAAACTTTTATGGCCAATTTATGGTGGCCATTTGAAACCATTGTTGGTGGAAAAAAAAAATGAGAATCATCTTGGAATCAAAGATTTCTCCTCCAAGACAGGTTGCAGCGGTCTCTCAAAACTCCAGCTACTAGAAATACTGTCCCTTGAGCCTAGTACTGGCATCAAGAGACTTCATGCTTTTGAAAAACAGTCTGAGCCTCTCCTTCACAACTCTCTAGATTGGTTGATGTCTCCAAAATAGGAAGGAGCATCGAAAGATCACCTAGCTTCTTCAAGTCATCTTTGAAAATCTGTATGGAACCATGAGACTTCAGTCACGTTCTTCAGCAGCAGTGCTGCACGTAGGCCTACCCTCCTGCCTGATCATTTCCA